ATATTATACATACTTTTATATAATAAATATCGTGTAGCTAACTTAATTTAGCTGTGCATATAACTGAACCTTGTTTTATGAGGGCATTATAAGGTGATAATATTAGATATAGCTTATTACATACACACATATATATATATATATATTATCTTTTATAGTCGCGTTGAGATTTCAGAACATTTTTTAATGATTTTATTGATCGTATATTTAATAGTATCTCATACATTATAGAGGAATCTTACATAAAAAAGGATTTTACATAACCTTAACTTTATTATAACCTTTTTTTAATAAACTCTTTGCTAAGCAAATCCAATATAACTGTCAGTTATTTTGACAGTTGCCTATCAGTTATACAGATGGCAGATTTCAATATTATTTACAAAGGTCGCATAATTCTAAAGAATTTTTATATTATCTTGTAAATAGTTGTATTAGTTCATATCAAGGAATTAAAATATAAAATTATAGTTTTCATATGACAGGACGTGTAGGTTTGCCAGTCTTAAAATAAACCGAATTCGATTTAATACACTCAGCCATATTATATATTTATGATTTAATAAATAAGTATCTTTTAATAACATGATAACTTAAATTAAACTAATATTAATCGGATTACAACGCGTATTAATACTTTTCAGCCAACGTGATCACGGGCGTACATCTTGTCTCTTTTCAATAAAAAATAATATGAATAATATTAGTTTCATTTAAATTTTCACGAAAGTCTCAGATCTCATAATGTGATAACTTAATAACTATTAAAATTAATAACTATTAAACAGGTTAAACTAACATATTTAGTTCCCACTTGTTAACGGAAATCAGTATTAAGTATGCGCATTTCATGAATTCACCCTAAAACAACTAAATAGCAATTGACAGTCACGCGATGTAATGGGTATGAGTATGGGCATGCGTGGGGCTGGCTGGTAACTTATAAATATAAACGACTATGGGAAAAATTCCCATACATATACTACCTATGAAATGTGGAGAGTCTCAATGGAAACATAAAAGTATAGTAAATATACAGGAAAAAATATAAATATGTGTTAAATATCGTCACCAGCCTATCAGAGCCCACTGCTGAGCCTCTTCTCACATGGAGAAGGTTTGAGCATTAATCACGCTTGCTCAAGACGGGTTGGTGATTTCAAACTTATATTTTGAATAAAGTGCATGTTTCCTCATGATGTTTTCCTTAAAATATCTCGAGATATATCTTTAAATTAAAATATATATAATAAATTATATGATTAAATATATTACTTTCATATAATACAAAAATAACTTAACATGTCCATCGCGCGTTTATCCAGCGAGGGGGTTAAATCTACCGTAAAATTAGCTTTGTTTACACAATTACTCATTTTTTTTTAAATATTTTTTTTTCATTTAACTGATGATTGTTACGCTTCATTGTTTGAGGGTTAACTTTGAAACACTTGCATTTGCAAGTGGATTTCACTATTATTTTATTTGGTAGGTTTTAGATACAAATATATATATAAATGAAAGTCGTGTTGTTACACTATTTATAACTCAAGAACAGCTGTACGGGTTTGGATGAAAATTTGTGGAGACTGAAGAGTTAGCTTAGAACATGGGAAAGCACATAGGATTTTTTCATCCGATTGAAAAAAAAAAATAAGTTGATCAAATCCAAAATCATCTTATCTACTAACTTTAAGGAGGTATAGAGTTCTCCCGGTCAGCTATACATTACTAATTCTGAAACTAACGCAGACAAAGTCGCTGGTAAAAACTAGTGTATATATTATTCTTTGTGATTAAATTTGGTTAAGTGTAAATTCAAATTCATATATATAATGAGATCTAAAACTTTATAGTATTCATTTAAATAAAACTAAAAATATGATTCACATCTCGTCTGCCCGTGATCACGGTTGCTGTAAAGTAACTGAAACGTCGGGAATACGTAGTTTAAAATAATAAAAAAACGCATAGTTAATAAGAATATATTATTTTAATTCTCACATATAGATTCTGATATTAAATAAAGTTTCAATTAAAACTCATACATTCTAAGTTCATCAAAAAAATTATTATCATACATATATTTTTAAGGCGATGACTCTCCTATATTAAAATTTTTAAATAAATTTAAATTATCTTCATATATTTTATATAAAGTTAAAGTGATGTTAGTTCTGTATATTTTTGGCAACTTAATTGTTAGGTATTCAAAAATGTAAGTGTCCTTGAGATGTTGACTCACGTTGTTAATAAAGACAGGTTTTTCATTAAAACTTGTTACTACTGTGTGAATGATTCAAGAAAATTAAGGATATATATGTATAATATATTAATATTTTTTAAATTTTAAAAATCTTCACAGATAATTTTTGGATTTACAGATTAAAAATTTCTTGAATTTAGTTTATTATAGTCTGTAGTAAACAGATAATACTTAAAAAAAAAAAATACAAAATTAAATTTTATGTCAAAAATTAATTTAACATATTTAATATAAAAAAGTAGTATTATTTGTTATAAAAATTATTTATTTATAAATACATATAGATGTGGTCACATTAAGCATAATTAAATATACCTTTGTCTAACATTTTGTTAACGAAACAATTGCTCGCGGTTCAATGTCGCCGTTGTATTTTTACGTGAGAACTGACGAGCGGCCATCTTGATTAATGCTATATGTTATGGCATTTCAATGATCATTTTAAATATATCTATATATAAAATTCTCGTGTCGCCGTGTTAGATAGAGAACTCCTACGAAACGGCTCGACCGATTTTGATGAAATTTTGTCAGCATATTGAGTGGCTCTGAGAATCGGCCAACATCTATTTTTCATAACCCAAAGTCATAGGGGTTTTTCACCCTTACTTTTTATTTATAATGTAGCATTACAAAATACATACAACCTAAAATTTTTATTTTTTTATCACTAACCCCTATTTTTTATATGCCAAAATATAGCTATATATGTATGTACATATACATTTTCCTATCTTAATAAAGAGGTAGTAAGGCAATTTTTCACTTTAACTATAAACTTCTACAGAACATATTTTTTATTGATACCCTTTTTTCTTTTATTCAAAGCTCACGTTAGGTATTATCGTAATTCTATCTTATATTTTATTATAATAACAGGTCTATCTCTGGGTGACAAGTCCCTTCTGTTTTCTCACGTCATTAAATCGTTAGATCAACGCCACTACTTACATTTATAAAAAAAAACACCTTTTTTCGATCCATCCATATTAATTTTATATATATATTTCTTTATAGTTATTTAAGCCTCAAAATAAATAATTATTACATACTTGGAAAAACAATTTATCGTAATAAAAGGAGACATTTCCATATATTATTGTTTGTATAATTTTATTTTTCCATGTTTCATACGAGACGTGTGAATCTCATCGCGATTGTTCAAAATATTTAAAGTCATTGACCTGTGTAATTGATTTTAGAGGAATCGTAAACACACACACACACACACATACACACACACACACAGACACATCTATAAATTTGATTAAAACGTCTTTTTCTATACGCATTTATACGAGTATCCTAAAATGTAAAGAAAACTTAATTTTTAATTATTACCATTCCTATCGTTTTCATATTATTATATAATATTGGATTTTATTAGGGTAGAAATTTAATATTAATTTGAAAATCCTAATTCATTTTAGATGGATTTTTACTATAATTGAGTGATATACATTGGCGAAATCTACATATAAGGAAACGCCACTAACTAGAGAAGAAGTGATATAAAGACACACATATATATATATATATATATATATATATATATATATATATATATATATATATAGGTATATATATGTATACGTATATCTTTGTAGTATGTTGTCCGCGTATCCATATATTCTATCTGTAGACAGCATCACGTATGCGACACTGCTCATTGTTAGCTCATGTTTCCCACAGCCTTGTTAGCTTAACCTTTTTGTATTATTTGATAATTCAAGCTCCTTTGGATTACGTATTAAATATTTAATATTAGACAGCTTAAATAAAAATGAAATTATGAGAAATATGAGGATTTAATTAATAATATGTATGTATGTATACAGAAATTAAAAAGAAACTCATTAAATAAAAAATAGTATAGTTTTTCGTATATGTGGAAGATTCTAGAAAAGACAGATATAAATATACATTTTTTACTTAAATTAATGATAATGGTATTTATTTTAAAACATTTTGGACAATAATCCTTATCACTTACCACCAGTTAATTCACGTGTATTCGAGAATTACTTATGACTAAAAGTGCGTTAGATAGGGTCCCTTAAACCTACACCTGGGTAACAAGTCCCAGTCACTGTTGAAGCTCCTCTCACTACAACTATGGACCTGACACACGCACCGTGAATACATTGAATGATGAGAGGTTTAGTCTATATATTTTAATACTACGTAAAATGTTCGTGGTATTTCAACATGTAAAATATGTTACTATTAGAAGCAAATATTCAAATTGTATTCAATACATGTTAATGATTGCATGATCTAAAAATGCATACATAAAGATAATTTACATCGGACATTTCCAATATTTAATTCTATTCAGTTGTTTATGCATAGCATGTGTTAATATTCCATTTATGTACATATATGCTTATTATTTGTCGTAAAATATGGCGTTTATATACTTTTTTCTCCTTGTTACAGGGAAGATGTTGAAAACACGAAGTAAAATACGCAAAAGAAGGTGACATCCAGTATAAAAAGACCAACCAACGTATAATACTCCAAAAATCCTCTTAGTTTAAGTGCTTGGACCATTTAACATCGAAAGTAGTGCAACGATTGGTTGAGAAATATTAACACAGTGATTGTATTGGTGGATTATAAAACATAAATTGTGCTTTTGGATTGTATTGGTGATATTTGGAAATAAACTGATATTGTGCATCACTGATTGGTGGAAATTTTTTGTGGTAATTTGAAAGGATAGTGTTATGCCATGGATTTGCACGCGCCGCTCGTTGTCCACGGGTATGAGAGCCATGCGCCGTTGTTGGAGGTCGAGGGTCTGGACCCCCACAGCCCTCAGAAGGTCCTCATCCACCCCATCCAGGGCCAGGAGATGATGAACGATCATCGGAATGGAGGTGACAAACATATTATATTTAAAATAATTCAATTTTTTTTTTAGATATAAATTTTGTTTAACGAGATCTAAGACTCGCAGTATTTGAACGAAAGTAATGTTTTCAAATTCGTGTTTTATTATTTTGATTAAATACTCGCGAAGTTTCGATTACTTTGCAGCAACCGTGATCATGTTTTCCTTCATCTGTCATTGGTGTCTAAATACTCTTATAAAGTACATATGACTCGGAACAATCACATTGGTACTTGCACAAGAGGCTTGCCTTTAACCTCTAGGCTAATAAATTAAAATACATATGTAGTAATCCAAAAATATTAGTTTCTATATATTTTGTTAGTGTTCAATATATTAGTTGTAGTGTTCAGAACAGATGGTCTGATCTGATGTAGAGTTTGATTTCACAGACGAACAGTTCCACGCGCACAGCAGCCAGAGCGGAGATGGTAAGATAAATTATATTATAATACTATACTATATATGCTTCTTCTTCTACCTGGCAATTCCCCAGCTTTAGCCAGGGCCTTACAAGTTGTGAATAGTTTTGTCTAATTGATTTTACGACCGGACGCCTGACTGACATCAACCCTCTTTGGGAATGCATTAATCAGTGATGTCTAAATACTCTTAGAAAGTACATATGACTCGGAAAAATCACATTGGTACTTGCCGATATATATGTAGAAGGTTAACCTTTGAATCACTCAATGAGTCATAACAATATTTCGTATAAAATTTTAGTATATATGAAAATGTAGATATTTTTTCTGTCCTTCATAATTATTATTGCATTATAATGAAACTATGACTATCTAATTTATTTCGACTTCAAAGATTATTTGAAATTAAATTTTCTAAACTCATATTTATTATTAAAAAGGTAGAATTAAGATTACTCTAAAGTTTGTTTTAAAAAATCCCTTAAAATAATGCATTAAAATTGTCAGTTTGTGTAAAATCACAAAAAAAACATGATTTTTTGTCTATTTCTTCCCTTTTAATTTATAAAAGACACAATAATTAAACAAAATTCTTAAAAAATAATATTATTAGTATCAAATAATTAATTTTAATTTCTTCATTATTGACCTACATTATATAATTATGTTATTATTAACATTAGTCAGTGGTATATTTGTCAACTTTCACGATATAATCTATTGAGTCGATTCTTATATAACTGAGATGAATCATTTGCTATGAACGGATGCTGGGGTCACACTGCGAGCGAGAAACAGAAATAATCATATTGAACTTAATTGAATTTATTCTTTCTGGTAATTTACCAGTTTTAGCCAAGGTCTGCCTTACATGTGTGAATAGTTTTGGCTAATTGTTTTTACCAACAGCCTGACATCAAGCCTCTTTGGGAATTCTTTTATGATATAAAATATAATATATATACTTCTCTTTCTCAATAAAAAATACTAATATTGAACATGTTTTTAAAATTATATATGCATTTTTTATAACCAATCATATTATAAATACGATAATCGTTAAACGCTGTCACTGGCACCACGCCTTGTCACAACAAAACGCCAGCCGGCTGGCAAGTAATTTCACAGCGATTTAGACAAGTGTACTCGCATAAAAAACCCATAGGAAAAAAACCTATCCATTCACCATCTTACACGAAGATATCTGAATGAAACGCCATGGATTCCACTTGGAAACTTATTTTTTAACATTTAACCATAATTTCAAACATCTATTTCAAGTTTATTATTATTATTTCTTATATTTTTTCAGTTAAAACAAGTTTTTCTAACTATAATTCTAATTTGAATGTTACATAAAACCTTCCAGAAGTTTCTCTCGTCAATAATAGCGGTCACGCGCGTTGAAAGCGAATTTGCTTAAAAAACTACAGATACTTAAGGGTTACCCAGTTTTATACGTAAATATATATATTATTATATCATTATACTTATTTAAATTTAAATATAAACTAATAATTTCTAATATTACAATCGAAAATATATATATATATTTTTCTATAACAAAATAATTCATGCATACAATTTTTTTTTTTAAATAATTAAAAAATATTATTTATCATTCAATTTTAGTACAAAAACCTTAATAATATATACATATATATTATATTCTATCAGATGAGGTAAAGTCAGCTGAGTAGCTTGTATCTCATAGTAATTGATATCTGGACCGCAGCCACTTCCCTGGGAACCAGTTCCAGTCCAGATTACACACGGCTTTTTATGTCGCTTACAATCGATTAAGATTGTATTCATATCTGGATGGATCGATTTTGATAAAACTTTTATCAAGTTATAGTTTAAAAGTGAAGATTTATATTTAGGTCAAAAATGTGATTGAAATTTTGTGGCTTTATTACGATCTTTTTGATGATAAATAAATGATTTTTTCTTATTTTATTATCAGAATAAAAATTATTGATTTCGGTGGTTTTCTTCAATTAAAATTTTATTATTTATTAAAATATAATTTTTATACATTAATAAATATTATTCAATCTTAGCTATAATTTTAAAACATTCAATTTATTTAATTTCTTTCAAAGTATAACTCTATATTACAATATATTCAACTATAGATATATTTTATAATGAATTTAACCATAAAAGTAAAAGTAACATCCTGACTCAATTCCAAAGGTCACGGGTTCGATTCCCGTCGCGGAACTAATACAGTGACTCGGTACTTCCGACGATAGATATCTTTTATATTTTTTTGTCATGAGGACATACCTCTTAATACCCATCGAATTTTACTTAAAATGCTAAGGTTTTAAATAGTAATATAATAATTTTGTTTTACGTTTAGTCAATACTAATAGTAGGCGAGAGTTTAGTAAAAGAAGTTTATCTATGTATAATGAGATCTAAGACTCGCGAGTATTCATTTAAATGAAACTAATATTATTCGGATTACTACGAGTATTTTATTTTTGACTATAAACTACTTACTTCCGACGTTTCGGTTACTTTACAGCAACCGTGATTGCGGACAGACGTTTCGTTTATCTTATTTAATAATTTTAATTTCTACTGTGATATGAGAATATTATTTTGATGGATGGACCCAGCATACGCATGGTACATGGAATGATGAGAAATTCTAAGATGACTAAAGTCTAAATATCATTACGATAAAACGGTGAGCAGAGTCTAATTGAGAAAATAGTGAAAATTAAAGAAAATTAATCTTCAATGAATATAGGCAGGTTAAAATATATAAATTTACGATCACAATACGTTTGTTTCTAACTACCTACACAGTATTCTGTTTTCAATTACAATACTACGGAACTGACAGTTACATTGTAGTTTTATTAAGTACTAGCTTTCCGCCCGCAGCTTCGCCCGCGTGGAGATCGGTTATATCGCGTTTACAAGAGGACCTTTCGAAAGTCTGGGATAAAAACTATCCTATGTTCTTTCTCAAGGTCAACTCTAACTCTGTACCAAATTTCATTAAAATCAGTTCAGTGGTTTAGGCGTGAAATGGTAACAGACAGACAGAGTTACTTTCGCATTTATAATATTAGTAGCGACGAAATGATACGAAGATTAAAATTAAATTACTATTCACTAGAAGTTTGAAAAAACATACGAAATACACATAGTATTTAGTTTCCATTTACGATTTGACAATATTCATTGATAGTAAAGTTAGTGATCTTATTGGAGGTCTCATTTTTGTTTTCAATGTTTTCGTTATTACCAGCAGGTACAACAAAATATCTGAAGCCACTATTTATAGTTATCAAATTAAGTAATAAATATATATATATATATATATATACATTTATAATATATATAATGTATGTACGCGTATTTAATGAGGCGAAACGTTCGTCAAAGGAGACTATTAGTGGAAGATAGCGTTGTACATACACTTATACTGTGGACTTAAGCAAACAATTATAATAAGTTTATTTTATTTATTGCAAGGAAAATACATAATATAAACTATACATAAGGAATAATCAAAAAATATCATTTGTAAAATTGATTTTATATTAAAATATATGAATTATTTGTAGAATATATTCTCTTAAACAATAAAGAAGTATTGATGAAGGATAATAATATATCTAACAAACCAAGAACTGATATCGACTTCAAATTGTATTCGCACGGAGCTCAACATAATCTGGACGATTTCAAAACCACACGATAATAACATTTTATAATTATTGATACAGATTATACAAAAAAAAAGTAATTGAGATAAAATTTCACACTAAAGTTGAATAAATGTTTTGTGGTCAAAGGCAAATTAAGAAATTTAATATATATATATGTACCCAAGTCCATACTATCAGTGGTGTATTATGAGATAATTTGTCAATACATCAATTAGTCAGGACCGCGTCAATTAATTAACAGGACATGTTCATGTATTAGGTATGAGCATTCATTATTACGATACTCTTATAAGAAAAGATTATATAGACTTATTGTTATACTAATATGCATATAACTTTAGTTACCAAGATTATAGTAATAAAAAATGATAAAAATATTTACTATATTTAAGACTAAACCTTTATAAGTATGCGAAAAATATATAAATATGTCATAGAAAGTTTTTGTCTATATGAAAGTTAGAGCAGGATAGACGATAACTGTTTAAAGGGTGAGTGCGAGCGAGATGGGTGATGCAAAAAATTTGGGATGACAGGGACGCACTGCTTGACAACACGTTCGGATAGTTTGATCAGCATACTTAAATAGATATATTTTTTTAATATTAAATTTAATCGTTATAAAAAAAATTACGAAACATGTAATATTCTTGTACGAGTAATGAAAATTTTAACGAGTTGATACTGTTAGCATGTAGCTGTTGCGTTATATTTTTAAAACTGGTATTTTCGTGATGTAAGCGTAATTATGTACGGGTTTATAATTCGTATGACTCAATTCTACTTGAGCGTACTGTAATTGGTTTCAATCTAGGCTCGAGTCAGGATAGTTGTGATAAAAAACTTTAATTAATGATCGCCAGCCGGTTGGTCGATCAGATAAAATGTTCTGGGGAATCAAATATTGAATATATTTTAGCTCTTGTTACATATAGGTATATATGGTTTCGATATTTGTCTGTCTCATTTTAATTACCATGGATTAATTACAATAACTTATGAATATTTTTTTTGTATCAAAACCGTAGACATTTTTAATATATCTATTTAGATATGACTATCAATATATTATACTTTCCAAAAAAATCACGTATGAATATCACTAACACAATTCATTTCATTACATATCTCAGTTTCGTAGTCGATCCATTTAAAGAACGAGTAGGTATATAATCTTTAACTGATATTCATTTGTATATTTTATTTTTAAAAAATCATCAAAAACATTACAAAAAATACTACTAAAAAGTATTATCAATCAAAATCAAAATAAGTTCCAAAAAATTAAAATAATATTTTCTGATAACAAAATAAAAACGATATGTATTTAGTTTCATTTAAATAAGTATTCGCGATAATATTAGATATCAGTTAGTTCCAAAAAAAAATTCTTTTCATATTAATAAATATATATATATAAATATAATCCGGGATGTGTATCCGATCTCCACTACCCGGGCTCCACGTGCTGTAGAGGGTGTTTTGATGTCGCCGCGCGCGGTCGACCGGCACGACGTATACAGACACGAAAAACATATAAATATATAATAATATATATAAAAACACATATAATATGTTATATTAATGTGAAAAAAAAACAAAGTGATCCAATACGCGCCATTTTTTTTTCATTAAATAATTTTTCGTGTGATTTATTTTCGTGAAATGTGATAAGTGATGTGATCTATCAAGGTATTGAAAATATACAGTGGATAAAAAAATATTTTTTTTATATATAAAAATCACGTTATTTTTAGAATAAAATGAATATATGAAACGGGCGTGCTTTAAAAATAAATAACGAAATAAAATATATAAATATTACAAAATATATGAAAGACATACACCAATTAAAATTATTTAAATAAATACAATATTAATATAAATGAAAAATTCGTTAATAAAATTAGTGTATAGAATAAAAAAATTAATTGATTAAATAAAAATTATACAACTTTCCTCTTGCAATGTCTACATAAAAACATCCTTCTAATATTATTGCTACATAATATATACATAGTTAACACACAACTGACACTATCATACAAAAGAAACATATAATAAAATAATAATATTACTTAAAACAATTTCATATTAAACCTTATTACGAGGCTACATAAAAGGTTCTAGATATAAATCTTATCCGCCGGCAAACAAACACACACAAACATATATGTATATATATGTGTGTGTGTATATATAATCATATTATGTTCTGTAAAGTAAAACGCCGTGTAAACTTATACATACGGACAATATAATGTTACTGACCATATATCAGGTGACATTACTCTTAGAAGTCAACTCTATATATATACTAAATAAATTCTTATAAGATAACTTTGATTAAAACATGAATTTATTTTTAATAATTTGTTATACGACCTCTTTGAATTTAAATGCCATACAAAAGTATGAAATTTTGAATATATATCTTCTATAATAAATATTTTAATACCAAAAATGATTAAGTAATCCTTATTCCTTTTTTAAAAAGATTTCTATCGTTCATACTAAAATATATGCAAATGTATTTTTAAACACTTCAAATTACTCGAAAATCCATTCAAAAATATTTAAAAACCTCTTATATTTAAAGGAAATTATAATATAATATATAATAATACTATAAAACGTATATAATATATAATAAATAAGTTATTTTCTTTAATTATTTAACAATACTCCCACGGTAGACATCTTGGCTAGATATTCGATATGTCACAATCCATTGGTTCATTACGACCGGACCGTAAAATGTTCCTAAAAATTATTAATCATTATTCGTTCCTTGTTACATTAACACGTACTTTTGAATTTGGAACTATTCTGTTCGAAAGAAAACAAGCTATTTGATTTTTTTTAATTTCAGCCATTCTAAATTAAGATTAAAGGAATTTTGAAATCGTGTTCCATTTTCAAACATTTTTTTTTATTTCAATCATTCTCAATAAAGATTAAAGGAATTTTGAAATCGTGTTCTATTTTCAAAAAAAAATTCTATTTCAATCATTCTCAATAATGATTAAAGCAATTTTGAAATCGTGTTCCATTTTCAAATTTGTGTTTTTTTTAATGAAACAAATCTAGAACATTATTCGGTATAGTGTTTGAAACAGTGTTGTGTTCGGATTTGAAGTGTTAATGCAACTGTGTGTTATTATTCTGCTAATGTACTTGATATTGTTATTATATATTTAAATTAAAGTTAAACCGTTAGTATTTCTAATTACAGTTGTATTTAATGCGCGTGAAAGCCTTACAATCAAGTGATAATCCCTTATTTCCTTATTAACTATAACTCGGTCATTCTCGTGAGAAAACAAGCATATAGATCCACCTGCCGCTGTTCAACCGGAAAACTAGTGCTCAAACAGCGGAAAATCGTCCAAAAACAGTCGAAATTAAAGCAAACAAATCGGTTTTTAACGACCAATAGACGTCTCTATTTTTGACTTTCACGCCCCGTTTTAGACGCATTCTGATAGTTGAGACAGTAATTATCCGACAAACAGATAGGCTGTATAGTTCAATACCGGATATTATAATCTGTGCAGAAAAATTTTTTTAAATTATGTTGAATATTCAAGTGCGGTGAAGTTTTGAGACATGGAAAGATTTGAGTGATATTGTAATGAGTGTTTATAGTGAGTGTTGAGTGAAGTGTCCAAGCTGGAGGGTCAAAGTAAAGCAACCTTCGCCGCCCTATTCGGGCTCCGGGCCGGCGGCGTGGACCTCTCCGCGGCCTACAGATACAATCAAAACATGATGGAGTATTACACATGTAAGACATATAAACAGTTTAAAACTCTACAATAGATATTACACAAATACTCAATACTCTACCATATTTAGTTCCATACGCCATATAAGAGATACCTAATATAATAATAACATAAAAAGCCTCAAAACAATCATGTTATCCATAAAGTCGAGAGTAACATCACCGCACATCTGGGCCGTGATTTCATAAAACACCCGAAAAATTTTTCCCTCCGAATGGATTTTGATATCAGCCAATCAGAAGGCTGCATTGGTGCGGGAGGGCGAGGGCGAGGCTGTGATTGGTCGCTCAATGGGAGGGTACTGTACACTAGTGTGAGTGAGGTCAATTTAGCAGACTAGCCCGCGGCATAAGTAAGCAAATTGGGATATGATACTATATTCAGATTTTATATGGATATTATACGGTTATGTAGAGACCGGCGTGTATCTGTCGTGTTAAATTTTCTTGTAATATTATGATATGTATAGTATAGAATTTGTAATATTTATTTTTTGTTATTATATAGGGATTTTTTAGGATAAATCGTATTTGATAGTAATTTATATAATGTTCTAAAGCTCACGAGTGGTTATTTCAATGAAACTAATATTTTTCGATTATACTACTTAATAATTATATACGTATTTGAAAGATCTTTTTGTGTGGTATAGAGCCGTAGTATACGTAAAACAAACTCTACTCCGAGTGTTATAAACTAACATTTTTATTCGTCTCTACTAATTATTTTTGGTTTTATAACATGTCTTACAGATATCTCCATTATAATTAATATTTCATATTGAAAATGAATATTATGAAATGGAATGATTTTCATTTGTTTCTTTATTGTCTGATTAGGAAATAACTATTTTAACCATAATTTCAAATAATTCATATAAGTATTATTAAAAGATTTTTATTTTACTCTTAATAAATAAAGTATATTACATTCATACATTTATAAAATATATCAACGTCAACACATCTGTACATTAAAATCAAATAATAGTTAAATAAAAAAAAAAACACAAAAGAGCTCTGACAATGGCTTAAAAAAAACAACTTCCTGGAAAATAACCAGTCATAGATCACGATCAAGACGACACACACACACACACACACATATATATATATAAGAACTTTATAACAATGTACTAGAGTTCATAATACAATGACATATAAAACCGGTAATACGAGACGAATTATATACGACCGTCTCATATGACACACACACATACAAACAACAACATCACACACACACACACACACATACATAGAACACTGTAGCATGATTCACACACACACACACACACGCACATGTATAGAACACTACCGAGCGTCACTCACACATGCAACGCGGCCACGTGATTGGCGCTGCGCCCGCGCATATATCACCCTCCGTACAGATTGTAGAAAGGTGTTACGGTTTACACATAACTAGTTATGTCGGCCGGCTTGTTATGTAAAATCTGATATATTACACTATATAAATTATAAATAGAAAGTCTTATTTGTTATTTAATTACTTATATATGTATATATATGTTAAAAGAGTATGTTTGAATGACGTCATATCTATTTATGATCAAAACCAAGGTATTAAGTAGATTTTTATGATGAAATATCACAATGGAAGGCGCGTCCGGTTATATGATAATGATGCTAACTAACACACACATACACACACACGCACACACACATATATATACTAGTTTTTGTTCGCGACTTCGTCCACGTTCATTACGGAATTAGTAATATATGTATAGCTGACCGGGCGAACTAAATTCCGACCTAGAGGCCGTAAATAACCAGATATTGGGGTTTATTAAGTTTTTTCTGTTTCGATAGAACAGAATTAAATATTCTACACGTCTCCTGGTTCCAAGCTATCTCTCCACCAATTTCTAACCATATCTCGACAGCCGTTCTTGAGTTATAAATATTGTAATTTACAATTTTCTTTTATATACTATAAAGTTTATTACATGATGAAAACACAAAAAAACTATAACTCCATTTAATATTATGTGTCTTTAATAAATAATTATTTTCAATACAATTCACATAATATTAATATATGTAGTTTTAAATAAAAGAGAAATAATAATTAATTGAAAAACATATACATACATATATTTTAAGTATATGTTTATATAACTTCGTCATATTCGTGTATATATTAATTATATTAAACTTGAATAATATAATAATCGAATTATCGAAAAATATCGATTGCAATACAATATTGTACACATAAAAAAAACACATCTCGTCTCTAAATCAAAACGTTTTTCGTAAACTGTGTTATTAGGTTGGTGCGTATGAAATGTCGCATTCTCTTTACATGCGGACGTTTGTCTCCCTGTTTTCGTTATACTCTTGTGTTTGGCATTACCTCATTCATAGTCGTATTGTCCATTTCCAGAGACTCATTTCAGTAATATAGGTTTTCTTGAAGGTCTTCTCTTTTGTTATTTCTTTTGAGTTTATTACCGAAATGAATTCTGCCGACATTCGCGTCATTTTCTTATATGAGTACAAACTTGGTAATAGTGCTGCGAAAGCTGCACGCAACATAAACCAAGCGTTTGAGAAGAATACGGTTAACTATCGGAAAGTGCAGCGTTGGTTCGAAAAATTTTGGACTGGCGATTTTTCACTGCAAAATGAGCCACGCGAAAGACCCAAAACGTCTGTGAAGAATGATGACCTGAAGGCTCTAGTGGAAGCGGATCCAGCCGTATCCACGAGGGAACTTGCTATCAGGATAAAAGTTGACCATACAACGATATTGAGACACCTTTCTGAGATTGGCAAGGTTAAGAAGATGGACAAGTGGCATGGTCCGCTACTGCTCTGTGACAACGCTCGGCCGCATACATCGCACAAAACAATTGTGAAACTGAACGAACTGGAATATGAAGTTTTGCAGCATCCACCACATTCACCGGATCTCTCGCCGACCGATTTTCATTTTTTCAAGCAATTAGAGCTGTTTTTAAGGGACAAACACTATGAAAATGAATACAGTCTAAAAAACTCGATATCAGAGTTTATTAATTCTAAAGACCAAATTTTTTTAAGACATTCATCTACGCTTTAAAATCTGGTTGGGAGAAGTGTATTGAAGCGAATGGAGAATACTTTAATTGAATAAAAAGCTTTTGAGAAACATATGCAGTTTTATACAATCATTTAAGAATCCGACATTTCATACGCACCAACCTAATATGTCGGAAAAATTGTAGATCCAAAATGATTTATATTTGAATGTTAGAATCTTTTTTAAAATACATATAAAATCTAAGCTATTTATTTCTTATTTTTATATAATGATTAATGAATACAAAGATTATCCATACATATTATTTCTTAATAAGAATTAGGTACCCAACTCATAAGCTGTACTAATATTTCCTTAATAACATTCTTATTTTCACATAAAACATGAAATATATTGAATTTTTACTTTATTCAACAGTATATAGTTTTCGAAAACTCTATGTTTACTTCCATTAGAAGATTTATAACATTATTTAGGTATATAAATAAAAATATATATGTGTACATATCCACCATTTTTTTGAGTACCTTCAAAAAATATATACATACAAACATATTATGAACAGATTTATATAATAAAATTCTGTCGGTTTTATTACCGTTTACGATAACATCGGAGTCAGACGTTCAAATTGTCCAAGGTCAGATGAGATCATATGACCCCATGGAAAGGGCATGGGTGTGCGCCTGCGCATGACGACGGGCAGCCTTGAACATCACCGGGGATGGAAGGTGGTGCAGGTGGGAATAAATGATTAAATCATAGAGTTACACATATAATATTAAACTCTAATAGAGTTAATACTAGAATAGCTCTAACAGAGTCAGTACTAGAATTTATTATATATTATACAAAAGCTATAATACTTTTGTATATATCAATATAATCTTGAACTAAAAGAAAATAGAGTACATTTAATACATTAGAATCGAAATGTTTTAATGAAAACAGGTTTAACTTGACTTTGTATTGAGATAAATGTTATATTTAGAACCTTCAGTTAAATTACCAGTTAAGCTAAAAATAACGTATTGAAGGTATATCCACAGTGATCTAGACCAAAAAAGGCATTAAAAGAAGGTAGGGTGTTCATCCCGGCGTGACGACCATGTACAGGATGGTCACTATAAATATTAAACATAAAATATACAGTTTACAGTCACAAAATATTATGACCCGTACATATATATGATATATTTTTGATATAAATTAATATTTTTTTAATATAATGTATCGCAAAATTTGTCGTAAATGCGTGAAAAGTTACAGAAATTAAATTTATAGATTGAATGAAAATCATTTTTCTTTGTATTGTTTATGTTATAGATATAAAAGATATACATATAAGCTTTAAGAATTTTTATACCGCTTGGGATAATTATAAATATATTTAAACTTCGTATATTATAAGAATATTTCACTTACAAATAAGATTTCCCAAAATAATAGAAGAAAGATTCTTCAAGTGAACAATCGTAACTATATACTTCGGGAAGTACCAGGTTAATAAATTATTTTTTCATATACCTATGTATATATATTCAAATTATCAGTTATAGGTATATAATAAATATTAAAAAATACATAATTTTTATATAGTTTATTTCTGACATTTCTTCAATAATGAAAAGTATATATTGAAATCCTTCTTTGTTCTTGTATTACTTCTTTCCGACTCCTCTAATTTTCTTCTTGAATTCTCTCTCATTATCCATTATAAATAACAATCTTATATACATTATAAATGATATATAAAAAACAAAATAAAAGTTATTGAACAATAAAATGAAATATATTGTTACACAGACAATGGTTCAAACACTCAAATCAAATATAAAATAAGCTCACAGGAAACGGCGGCTTCCGTCCCTATTTGACGGTAACTAACTTTCAAATTGACATCACTATACATTTATGTATAATTATACATTAATATATACGATAATTGTATAAT